AAACGGCTCAATTTGGGTCACGTTCTTTATCTTCTTCTCTGGCAGGTTAATGCTATCAAAATGAGGTAAGGGAAGTGCCTTAAACTTGGGTACCTAACAAAAAACAAAACAAAACATGTGTCTTAAGAGAAATACTTCTCTAGCCAGAAAACAATAGTTGCCCCAGAATATGTGAGTGAACCTGAACAATCAGGGATGACTGGTTTTCAACCAGTATGGCCCAACAGAAAAGAGTAATGGGCCTGCAAGGAAACTTAGGTTTTCTTCCCAATATGGCCAACAAATGGCAATGTGATCAGAGGCAGGTTATATAACCTCTTTGAACCAGAATTATTATTTAAATTACTTGCCCTATCTACATCTTATACAATTTTTAGAAGGATCAAAGGAAGGAGTAATTTTAGTCAAGTATTACATGAAAGGTTACCCATGGAGGATCAAGGGATAGTATTCTGCTACTTGCAGAAATGGAAGCACCTACCTCCCCTTTCTGCAATTCTTTTATTTTCTTCTTCTTCTGTAATTGGCGTTCTTTGTCCCGAGAATCAAAGGAGAAAGGGCATATTTCTACAGTTCTTGCCTCCGGAATATGGGGCTTAAAAGGCACCCCATAATGTGGCACAGGCTGAGCTCTTAGCACTGCTGGCTCATCCTCTTCCTAAGACAGAAATTGCAGTTCAGAAATGACACTTCTTACTCTCCCCCGCCCCCTCCACATATGCAGCCAGAAGTCTGTATGACAGAAGTCACTCAAATGAAGTCTTAGTTTTCTTTTTAGCAAAGAGGGACAATGGCAGAATCGACTGCCACACCACGGGGCTAAGAGCAATGGGAAGCCCTTAATAAAGGACTAACAGATTTAAAAGTTTTCCACAGAAATACTGGAAAGCTTAATGTCAGCATAATAAAATGATGATTAGAAGACAAGTACTAACCAAACATATACCTTCCCCTCTTCTTTGACCCAGTATCCAGACTCCATTGAGACATGTGACTAGAACTAATAGTAGCCAAACCCAGAATAGGACGAACTAAGTTGTTTGGGTTCAAACTGGTAATATAAGATTACTGTGTATTTTAGTTTCAAATGAACCTATAAAAAGGCTTTGCTTGAGATCCGCTATAAAATTACTCTAACTCTGGATATTTATAGATAAAATGGGAGATGTAATAAGAAACTAGTACATCAATGACAGGCCATGTTACAGTTCCATAAGCCATCACCACACAGCCATCTTTGCCATCCTTGTAGTAATGGCAGCAGGACAAGTCCCACACAAAAGTGACAATAACTTTGGCAAAACAAGAGTACAGGGCCTGGCAACTTAACTCTCAAAGACAGACTGATTCCAATGCTACAGAAACAGACAACCTCCAACGCCCAACTCCTCCATGCTTTTTCTATAAACTGCAAATGGTTATTACTGAGATCCAGAAGATTTGCACCTTATCAACTACTCTGCTCTCAGAGGAACAAAAGGGCAATCAAATGTTTATACCATTCTTAAAGATAATACCAGAAAGAGAGCTGTTGCCTTTGACATCCATTAAATTTAATGGTAAGGCTTGAGGAGTAGGGGGAAGTGTAGAGTAGAATTCTTGCCTAGCACGCAGGAGGCTATGGGTTGAAAGAGACTGGGATCAAACTCAGGACCTTGGACTTGCCAGGCAGGTCAGGCACTTATGCTGCTGAGCTACCTCCACAGTCCTGGCCATGTCTTTTAGGATTTTT